TAATTATCATTTGAAATCTTACACCATATACATTTGATGAGCATTTGATCTCGTTTTTAACTTTATATTTTATATTATGAGCTTCATTAGTTTAATATGAATAGCTACACTTTATACAATTTGTGCATTAGGTAATTGGTTTGCTCTCATATAAATCTAATATCTGGTTTTATCATTTGTATAGTGTTAAAGTAGTTGAATCTCACCTAAGTAAATCCTCAGACTCATTCTTATTTTATAGATTCATCACTGCTTAAACAATTTTTTAGCTGCCATGTGAAATATTAACACAATATACATATAAACTCTATTTTCAAGAGTTGGTGAACTGTGAAAGACAATGATGGAGTAACAGTGCATAAGAATGTTTGTTTAATAATAATAATCGACATCTTAGTTGGTTATATTTCTTTGGGATTGACAAAATGATTTCAATATCATGACTTACTCCCTGAGTTGTCATCTCTTAGGAGGATTTTTTGATAATTCGTATAAAATATTTAATGAGGTGTTAATTACATTTTTTGAATATCACCTCTATTTAGGTTCACTAATTATGAGAAATAATATGATGCAAGTTAATTTAATTTTTTTTCATTTAAACAGGGATAAAATTAAATATTTATTTTATTTTTAAATAAAATTAATAATTTAATCACCTCTTATTGATTCTGGTGAGGTAATAATTTGAAGTATTTTATAATGAGGACCAAGGGGAGTATCAATCAAGACTTTTTCCCCCTAAGGATAATCAGAACTTGTTAAACTATGTTTTGTTTGAATTAAAGAAAAAGAGACATGGATTTCAAAATAGAAAAATAAAAAATATAATTCTAACAATTTATTTGATTTTTAAATATAAAAAATGAAAAAAAAATATTTTTACCAAATTATTTGATTGTAAAATATTTTGATGATGTAAATCTTAATAGTACTTTAGCTCAATTTATTTTCTCTTCATTCCATTTTTCCCTCCCAACTTCTCTCCCTGTCTAAATGAGTAATTATCATTAAAAACACCAAAAATAGGTTTTAAGTTGTGTAGAGTTGCACCAAGTTTTAATTATAAACTCGAATGATAACTATTAAAAAATTTAAATATCTATCACAAATAGATGCAAAGTTGGGGACCAAAAAAAAAAAAAGAAATACATGCAAAGTTAATTCAGGACAAAAAGTACTGCAATAAAAAATATTTTAAAGTTTTAATTAAATGGCATTGTGAAACTCAATTTAATTTTCATTTCAATTAAGAACAATATAATTTCTTAATGAAATTTTAATAATTCATTATACTTAAATATAGTAATATCTTTTAAAGGTTCCCAAAAATTGTTTTTCCCTTTAAAATAATCTTATCATAAAAAATAAATATTTAATTTTTATACTCACATGTTACATCGTCATGCTGATTCTTTTAATCTATGCACACTCCTCATAAAATTTTAGAACTCATTCATCTTTAGGTTAAAATTTTCGAGAGCATATAACTTTTAAGTTTTAATTTTTAATTTCTTAAATAAAATATTTTTAATTTTTACTTTTAATTTAGTGGTTATAATTATTTATCTTAAGTATTAAATGTAAATTATGCATAAGGTAAAAAGTAAAGAAATTTTGAACCAGGATATATTAAAGTAAAGACAAAAAAAATCTATAATGGAACTTTAAAAAATTAAATTAGAAAGTCACGACATACTATTTATTATTCCATTAAACACTGTACGATTTTATATTATGATATATATATATATATATTTGTATTTCTATTTTTATTTGGCATACGTTATATAATATTAGATTTGAATAATTAGACACTCTATTCGTTTAAAAATATAAAATATTTTTAATTTTTTAAGATATAATTATTATTTTTTTTAAAAATGTTCTATTAATGAATGTCTTTCTATTTATTGTAGGGTATTTAATAAAGATAAATATAAAAAAATAATATTAATTTAAAAGTAGATAATTATTTTATTAAAAAATAAAATTTAATTAAAAATATGTTATATTTTTAAACGAACGGAGTATCTATAATTTGGAAAAAATTCATGGCTCATTAAAGACATGATTTTCAAGTACATGCATTGAGTTTGTACTTTCTCAAAAGTAGAGTTGAAAAACGAGCAGGATCAATTCTTATAGGCTTAAGATATTAAGTTCAGTTTTCTATTTTTCATCTATTTTTTAAGGTTTGGCCTTTATTTAAAAGATTTAAAGTTGGGCTCGCAAACCATATTCTGAAAAAAATTTAAAAATAAAATAAAATTTAGCACAATAAATTAATTAAAATATTTTAAAATTAAAAAATTAAAATTTTCATAATCTTTTGAAATTAAACAACACACATTTAAAAATTTAATAATAAAATTTAAATCTTAGTTAAAAAATATTTTATTTTTTATAAATACATAAACATAATAATTATATAAAAATAAAAATAAAAAATTTTATACTGTACAATGATATTTATTAAATTAATTTTAAAAATAAATTAAAATTAATAATAATTTAATTTGTGTAAGATTAGGGTTTCAGGCAAATAGATCTTTGACTTCAAACTCATATTTTACTAAAAAAATTAATAACAATATAATAAAATTTGAAGGCCTATTCAAGCCTAAACTCTTTTTTATAAGATTTATTAAAATCAAACTCTTAAATTCAATTATTTTTTTAAAAAAATATTATTTTTAAAACTCAAAACAATATTTAAATTTAACCTCCAAATTCGGCTCTTATTTCAGGCTATTAAAAAAAATCATTAAATGATTTCCATCCCATCAGTGCAAAGTCCCCCGTCCCATCAGAATTATTTCCGACAACACGCGCCATGTCATCAGAAAATTTATGGGAAAATCACACTTCAGATCCACCTAAATAAGTTAATATCAATTAAAGTCTCCTGAATTTGCTTAATGATTGAGAGGTCCAAGGAACCTGGGTGTTATTTATCATTTATGACGCATACGAAAAGACAAAGTTGCCCTCAAATGACAAAGGAAGAAGAAGATGATGATGATGATAAAACCCTCGTCACCTGTCGCCAGCAATCTATTCTCATTGTGACATTGGTTCACGAGGCATAGAAGCCAAAATTCCGCCATCCATGGCGAACCAAAATCTTGTTGTCGAATCCCTTTCACCAATCTCGATTTTGAAGTCACCGACTGAAGATTCACAGAAGAATGGGGTTGAAAGCTCGATGCAACATGTGGGGTTGGAAGAGCCCAATAGATCTCACAATGGAAGAGCCAGCCCAAGCTTCGCCTGATTCAGTATCAAATTCGACAAGGGGGGTTGATGCTGGACAAATATAGAGATGCTCAGATGCACAAGCCTAGCTAGGAGACAGAACAAGGAAGTGTGATGCATTCTAATTTTTTTTTCGTCTTGCTCTTTTTGTTTTGGCGAGCGGTAACATTCTTTTGTTGGTTTTTCATGCTTGATTTCATTGGTATCAAGTGAAAAGTGAAATCTTTAATTATTATTTTTATTATTTTTGCTTTGATTTAGAAGAAACAGCTAGAAGTTGATTAAAGGAAAGGAACTACATCAGGCAGTAATTTAATTATATGAAACTAAAATATGAACACAGAAACTGTATCTTGCAGTAGTTCCATTATTAGAAATTGCATCAGGCAAAAACTATATTCAAACTATTCAATCTCCTCATATCGACCCCGTCTTAGACATTAATCATGCTTCGCAAAACCATACCAAATTTCCATCAATATAATAATCCTAATTTGCCACAACATCCATAAAATATATTAAAAAATATTCAAATGTCATCTTGATATAGAGAGGATTAAATTTGACCGAGAGAGCGGGAGAGAGGATCAAAAAATTACCAGAAACCAAAGGCTTGAGCATGCCATCATCCAACCTCCTCAGATTAAAATAATGGGCGAATAAGCCACCCTCTTGCATGCAGCGAGCGTCGCCATAGTTATAGGTGTTGCAGCTAGACACGTCCCTATACATATTCCCAGTGAAGAAGAAGACGAAGGAGAAGATGTGACACAGTTTTTGGTATAAATCTCAATGGGTTTATCTGTGAGGCGGCGGCGGCGGGGGCCGCAATATTTCCGACCATGGCGGGGTCGTGTTGAGTAGAATAGGATAGGGATTGAGTTTGGACTTGCGTTTGGACATTGTCTCCTACAACATTGGAGCGTGGCGTGGGTCTCGCCAGAGAAGAGCCCAAGACCCAAGACTGCTTGCTCACTCCCCTGTGGTGAGAAAACTGCATCTTTATTAGGCTCAGTCTCTTTTCGCAAGCCAAGACCCAAGCCCCTTCTCATGGATTTTCATTTTTCCTTCACAGAGTTTTTTTATGAAATTTTTCTACTGCAAACTCATTCGAAAGAAAATTCCGTGAAAAAAAAAGAGTTCGTGAGAAAATTCTCTCACTGAATCACGCCTTTAGAAACTTGAGAGGGAAGGGGCAAGGGGAAAATTCTAGAAGTTGGATCCAAATCCATGAGGAGCATTGGTCGTGAGAAATTTTTCACGGACCGAGGCTGTAAGACATACCATGGGCAGAGGCCGTGTTTGGCAACCTTCTCAGTTCATTGCCATTATAACACTGTTTTTTAATCAATAAACCTTAATTAGTTTTTTTTTTTGGATTGGGGGGAGTATTATTTTTTTTTGATTGTATTGTACACATAACTCAATTTTTTTTTTAAAAAAAGTATATAATAGTTCAATTAAGGAATATGATAATGATGTACTATCATAAAACACAATGTTTTTCAGGGCTAACTTGATTAATTTCATCAAACGTCTGGAAATTCAGTTGCGTGTAGCTAACTTAAATTGTTTTGGAAATAAAAAAACAAAATGGCACACACGTGTGGATTCCTCCTGAGGCGGACAAGAGGTGTCGTCTCACGCCTCTTCGTGTAAACTCATCGAGCCATATAATTCGTCGCCACTCTCCACACCCCCACACACAAAACGACGTGTCGTCTGCAGAATGACACACGTACCACTTCCACTCGCCCTCACGCGTCCATCAATCTTGAATCAATGTGCAGGTTTTTCTTCATTGCACGGTACTGTCCATCAGTTCCATCCAAAATCCCAGAAATCTCAGACCAAGTAACCACTAAGCCTCAGAAAAATGGAAACGCAAGAGGTTCGAGAAATGAGATCAGAGAAAGCAGAAGACAGGGAAAGAAACGGTGAGAAAAAACCAGAAAAAGGGAAGGAGAAGGAGAAGGAGGGCGTACCTCCATTGAAGGCTCTGAATCACGTGTCGAGGGTCTGCAGGGACGTGAAGGAATCGATAGAGTTCTACACGAAGGTGCTAGGGTTTGTGGAGATCGAGAGGCCTCAAGTTCTGGATTTTGAAGGAGCTTGGTTGTTTAATTATGGAGTTGGCATCCACTTAGTTCAGTGCCATGATGATCACAAGTTGCCTTCCGATACTCAACACTTGGATCCCCAGGACAATCATATCTCTTTTCAGTGTGAGGACATGGAAGGAATGGAAGAGAGGTTGAAGAAGATGAATGTGAAGTACATGAAGAAGACGATGGAAGCAGAAGACGGGACAGTGATGGATCAGATATTCTTCAACGACCCTGATGGATTCATGGTCGAGCTCTGCAACTGTGAGGATCTCAAGCTTGTTCCTTCTTCTCCTACTTCTCTCCCCAGGATCAAGCTTCCCTCCCATCACCACTCTCCTCCCGTCGAAACCAGCCACGCCGCCACCCGCCGCCATGAAAAACTGTGATTGATCACTCTCAGCTTTTCTCTTGTTCATTCATTTTCATTTCATATTTTAATCTGTTTCTTTGTTCTATTAATTGTGTCTGTATGGTTCTTTTTCGTATATTGCTATCTACTTCAAAAAGATGGAGAAATGGGGAGAAACGAGCTGATTTTCAGGAATATATGTTTTGTCTGTCTCTGAGGATGCGCACGTACTGGATAAATTTTTACTGTATTCTGTTCAATTTATAAACGAAAGGGGAAAAAGAAAAAGCAAAATTCATTTCTGTCATTTTTGAGGTTGTTGCTATAATTTTTGAGAAAATTTTAGGCGGGGACCCTTGTCCCAAGATGCTGAAAAAGGGGACTACAAAATTTTTGAAATTTCATTAAAATATCCGTACAGAATTTCTTTTAAATTTGTGACGGAAATAATAAAACTGTCTTCATTTGAGTGAACAACATAAATGACTTGTTCATTTTTATATTATATGTTATTCATTTATTTAAAAATATTATTCATTTTTCTTACTTTACTTATAGCCATAGTTTTATTTGATTTCATTTCAAATGTTAATTTTATGGTAAGATAATTTATTTATTCCCATACTATATATTATTCATTTATTTATGAAATATTGTTTGTTTTTCTATTTTACTTGCTTATGACTTTGAAATGAAATTAAGTAAAAGCAGTATTACAAATAAGCAAAGTAAGAGAACGAACAACATATAGTATAAAAACAATTAATTCATTTATTTGTTCATTTAAATTAGGACAATTTTATTATTTTTATCAAAAATTCAAACGAAAATCCACACATTTCGTTAAGTGAAATTTTAAAAATTCAGAAGTTCTCTTATTCATTATCTCTGGTCAAGGGTCATTCCCTGAATTTTTCCATAATTTTTTCTCCACAAAAATTAAGCTAATGTTTTTTACTAAAATTAATTAAGAAGTTCCGACTTCTTTTATATAAAAAAACGTAAACAAACAAACAAACAAACGGAATTTCTGTTGGACCTCATCACCTCAACCTGACCGGATGGCCTAGAACCAAGTGGATCCACTGTTTCGATACGAAGATCCTTTGATGAAAGTTTAAATTGTGGCCCAAAAAAACAAACAAACGCACGACAACGTTTAATTATCTAAATTTGCAAATTTTAACATAAAAAGCGTATGTTGCAATATGTTTTGTATACTTAAAATTTAAAAACATTAAACACAGAAAAAGAAGGAGAAAAGAAGGTCTTAACCAGGACGATTTGCCGCATACAGACGGAGATCACTGCTACAGAGTAAAAGTTACATCAAAATTCCCGATTTTAGACATAAAAGTTACAAGTACGCAACGATGATAAGGGAAATAAACCTATAGGCAAATAACATCTAAAAGAAAAGGCAAATAAACTGTATTCCGATTGGCTTGGTCTTACACGAGTCTTCCTATATTAATGTAGTAAATTAAGTTTCGAAGAAAGAATAATGCAACCAATTGGCGGCCATGTAAGTATACCCACTTCCTCTCTCCTCTTCTTCTGATCTTCTTCTTCTCTTCTCCTCGTAATTAGGTCTCAGACAGGACAATAATCCTTAACCTCAGCAACATTAACGTTATTGACATCATCAGCAACAACCAGCCCCACTGGGTCTGGAAACACCTCACTGCTCCCTCTCTGGCTCACTCCGACCACCACCACGCCGCCGGCCTCTTTCACCGACGCCTCCATCCCCACCTCTTTCTGTCCTTCTCTCGTTTTCTTCTTCCCATCCCTGTATATCCCATACAGCACCATCTGAATCAACCCTAGTGCGAATCCCATCACATTCGGCACCTACACATATCCATCCACCATGTTCATTACATTAGTTATTAATTTTCTCTATCAACATACATACATACATCAATGGGAAGCTTGTTTCAGTAGACAGTACACTTACAGCAACGCATATGTCCCTGTGGAACAGTCCATAAGCAAACCACATGACAGCGCTCAACGTCAGGAAAAATGATAGCATGAATGGCATATACTCTACACTCTTTGTTCTGATAACTTGTGCCTGCAACACACACATATACGCACATGAATTAAATTTAACTGACGTGAATGCGTGTGTGTGGTGGTCATGCTCCGAGACATACACACGCACTGACCATAATGCTTAGAGGAGCAGCGAACACGCTGACTGAAATCGAAACGCATATCCATCCCAGCACATGAACACGAAGGGAAGCGTCATGCACAGCAAATTGCGTCACCAACATAATCAGACCGAATGACCCGAAGTTCATTGCTCCTATGAGTTTTATCGTCAACTTCTGCAACAAATCAAGTTAATTATGATTAGCAAATTTAATTAATCAATATCTTGTTTGTGTGTGCGTGGGTGATTAATTACTACGTACCCTGACGTCTGTGGAGGCATAGGTGATGAAGATGAGGATGTAGATGATCTCTATGACGCAGCCAAAGGAGTTGATGGTGATGAGCAAAACGGCGCCGGTTTTGAGGAAAGCATAATAGAGCCATAGCATGCAGCTGAACAGTGCCACCAGGTATGGGATTGACTGGAATCCTTCCGTCGATTTCTTCTTGTATATCCGGTAAAATGTTGGCCTGCTCATTTTAATGTTCCAATTTTCATATTATCAATATTTATGATAACTTCAAACCAGCCCAGAGATCCTCTTAGTTATATCATCACTTCGGAAAAAAAAAATTATACTTACATAGGTGCCAAAAATACCAGGAAGGATATGAAGTTACCTACGAAATCCAAAAAAAGAAGAAGAAGCCAAGTAAATATTTAATCTCTTTGCTATAACAGAAGAAAAATAGAAACTACCAAATAATACCAATTATACGGGTGGGAGACAGTCATATACACGAGAGTTAAGAATATGTAGTTCAAAAAGATTAAGTACAAAACAGCAACATGACCACAGATTGCAGAAGATAAATCCCTCCAATGCATGAATCTCTTTTGAAGTACATAGATGGAGTGCCAATCTGGTATATGAAATTCAACAACCAGAAAAGAGAAAAGGCAAGGGACCACACACACACAAACACATACCGAGTATGCCAAAGGTAAGGGCCAAAGTATGAGTGCTCATGATAGCCATTCTTGAGTAATTATCTGAGGCAATATGGAGCACTGAAATATGAAGCTGGTGGGATGCGGCTATTCGAAGCCCCAGTGTATATATAGAGACAGAGAAAAGAGAAACGTATGGGGAGAGAGAGGGAAATGAGGAAAGGGAAGGAGATATTTATAAAGAGGTGAGGAAGGAGAACGTGAGGGAGGGGGCAACCTGACATCAAAGTTTAACAAAATGGTGAATGGTATGGACAAGTTAAAGCATCGCAGCCATAATGTTATGATACGTACGTTAGCAAAGAACGATAATGCGGTGTGGGTTATAAGGTTTTGTCGTTCACGTGACATAATAACCAAATCAATCTCACTGCGCAAATCCTGCGCACGGAACAAGCCTCCGTGACTGATCACCCTCCTCAGTCCTCACAAAAATCCTTTCCATTCAGTTTTAATTAGCTTACTTGCCCTTCTTTCTGGATTTCCCTTGCATTCGTTTCACACATACCTGCGCACTTACCTCGTGCTAGCCAATGCTCTTTTTTGTTTTTATAACTATTTGATATCGGGTGTTACGTTCAGACTCAATCATTGCCAGGCTTAATTAGAAGCAACAGCTCTGTTAAATAGAAGCGTTTTCTGTATTTATACAAACTCGAACTTGAGGTCTTGGGTCTAGGTAGATAGAATCAACGGTTTGTTGCTCCTCAGGGCATTAAAATTAACTTAATCAACCCTGAATTGCTACTTATATTTATGGTTTAATCAATATATTTTAAAAGGTTTAAGATGTTAAGGTATATTTTTATCCTTAATTATAAAGTATTCTTTCAAAACCTATGGTACCATGAAAAAATTGTGGAGTAATATAGCACGTATTTTTCAAGGTTTTTTACATAATTTGCCGTAGCAGTATTATTCTTGAAGCTGGAGTATGTATTGACACCTGAAAGAAAATTTAAAATAATGTAATATTTGCCAAATTTCTCAAAATCTATGATGTTAATATTTTTCAGCAGTCAGTCCAATGTTGACTTAACGTTAACTGTAACTTTCGCATCAATTTTAACAGATTTTGGGTTGCATTACTTTGTAGTTTTTCAAGAGGTTGCTATAGCTTCCCATCATACTTTCAAAAAAAAAAATAATGAATTTCAACCCTATTTTAAATTTTAAATACACGCACTATAAGATCATCCGCACATACATATACATAATACATGGACAGGAAATATTAACATACTTCTCCAATCTTGTTTGTATGGTACTTTTTAGAAGTTATTTTGGTCTTATTAAACTATTTTTTTATTTTATTTTTTATTGATTAACGTAAAAATATTTAATATGATTGTATCATTATTTAAAGTGGAAAGTGAAAATGAAAGTATATACTCCCTTTGTTAAAAAATATAAAGTATTTTTAAAAAAATTAAATGTTTAAAAATATAAGGTATTTTTAGTATTTCAAAGTGTATTCATTGCCTTTTTTTCAAAAGTGATCATATTAATAATGACTTTATATTTATTGTAAGATGTTTAATATGGATAAATATAAAAAGATAGGATCACTTGAAAAGTAGGTAATTATTTTATTGAGAGATGAGATTCAATTAAAAATATCTTATATTTTTAAATGGAGAGAATATATTTTTTATAATATTAAATTTCTTACGTAAAACAGTTAAAACTTAAAAGTATGACGGAGTAGCAATCAGACGGTTTAAACATCTCACTATTTTGTCGTTTTCAAGTTCCAACCTTAACAAGGCAAAAAAAGAACTTTTGGCCAGACCAGCGTTCAAAAGCATCACCAAATGATTCTATATATTTATATATCTACAAAATCTAAGGGAGAATTTACAAAAACTTAAAAGTTTAAAGGAGTTTTGTATAATTTGGTAACAATAATTGTAGGAAGTATTTTTTGTAACAATGATATAAAGTGTAAAAATTTTAGTCTCTTTTAAACTTTAAGTGTTTTTGTATTTTGCTTTAATTAGATAGCGTATGCGTCACAAAAGAGGGTCCAAATTTGGGGGGAAATGGAAACAAGTGAATCATGGAAATCCTAATTGCTCCGTTTTCTTGAGGACGATGAGGTTTGAGTGGCGTATCCCAGGTGCGTAAAACATTCAGTTCGTTAATTTTGTCGATTTCAAATATCGATTTTATTTCACATGTAAAACGTGAGTTGGAATTCCTATATAGTATGGCAATTGGCAAATTACCAAGGTTCAAATTTATACCCAAAGAATGTCAGTGTTTGACTGTATTTTAAATAAAATTATCTTCAATAAAAAGATATATAAAAATAAAAAAAAACTATTTTATTTAAACATGCTCTTATTATTCAAAATTAGTCGCATGAGTTGATTCTTGTGTTAATATGACAAAATTTCAGATATAATTATACTCATTCTATTAAAGATATAAAGTATTTTTAATCGAATTACACCTGCAATAAATGAATTAATTATTTTTAAATTAATATTATTTTTTATATTTATTCTTATTTAATAAGGTATTTTATTTAAAAGTAAAAGGTTGACTGATTTATTTAGTAAAATTTGTTTTAAAAAAACTCATTAATTACATATTAAAAAATTAAAAATACTTAACAAGAGTGTATTTTTTAACCACATGACTATTGCTTACGTGAACAAACTAACTTTTTATATAGTATTTTATATAAATTACACAATTTTTATTTATTTAGACTGTTAAAAATGAAGCAATATTCTTTAACCAATCTTTAATTTAAATATCCCTTTATATTTTTATCTTCACTTTTAAAAAATTTAATCACAATAAATGTATTATTTTTAGTTAAAACATGTAGTAAATGTACAATATAATTAATAAATGTAGTATTTTATATAAATTACACAATTTTTTTATTTAGAGTGTTTAAAATGAAGCAATTTTTTTTAACCAATCTTTAATTTAAATATCCCTTTTATATTTTTATCTTCACTTTTAAAAAATTTAATCACAATAAATGTATTATTTTTAGTTAAAACATGAAGTAAATGTACAATTTGAGTAATTATAATTAAGTGACAAGGGATTGACAAAACATGTGATGTGAATATATCATAGATATTCACATTAAGCTCAATTGTTTTGTTTTTGACCCGACACGCTAAACTTTGATTGAATAAAAGAAACCCGACCGGTCCCCGACCGGCTAGTTTCAGAATGCGCCAACCAAAATCATCAAACACTCCATTCTTTATGACTCACTTCTATCATCTGCCTTTGGTTTGGTCAGCTCAGACTGGTTTAAAAAACTGGAAATGGAAACGAAGAGATTAAGAATTAGTATACTTTCTCGGGTCCTTTGAAAAAAATTTAGAGAGTCCATTTTTACTCCTATTTTTTGGGGAATTTTTTTTCTGAAGTATTAATTAAAATTTCTCACTTATGTCCTCCTTTAAAAGAAGACAGGCAATTTAATACACCGTTTTATTGGTAGAAAAGTACTCTTGAGAAAAAAAATAGAAAATGCATCTATCCATTTTCTTTTTAGATATATTTTTAAAAAGTTCCATATACCAAATTAAATACGCTCTGACAAGTCATTGGTCAATTTCTTAGAATTATCATTAAATAGTGAGTGAGAGTATTTTTGAGAAGAAAAAAGATCGATTCAGTTCCTGAATTTTAAGTTGAAACAATTCAATCGCTACATTTTCTTAATTTTGAACAACTCAATATCCTTATAATTATATTTTTTTTAGTTTGGTACAACTCAATTCTTTTAATTTCTTAATTAATAAATTATAAGAATTAAGTTATATTGAGTCAAGATTTAAAAACTAATGATGTTGCTTGGCTCGTAAGGAAATATAAGAATGAGAGAAAATGAAGAGAGGTGAAAATGAAGGGATACAATTTTCTTCCATTATATTTGACTGAACAAGAGAAAAAAATATGAGAAGAGAAAAGTTGTTAATTTTGTATTGGTAACAATAATCTTATTATTTATAAAAATATTTATATATAATAAAATTTAATTAATATTTTAACATATTATATACACAATAATTTCTATCATATATTATTGATTATATAAAAACATTATTACAAATTATTTTATCCAAACCTAACCAAAATTATTTCATCCAATTTATAATTTCATTTATTAAATTATTAAATATATAATAATATTAAAATTTTGAAACCACAACCCAATATACAACCAAAGATAAAGAACTTAATTGAAAATTTAGAATTAGCATTTGTCATATTAATCTAAAACTTAAATATACAACTTGTTTAACAAAAATTCATGATCAAAATATAACTATACTATAAATATAAAATTTGAAAATCATTAGGTAAATTTGAAAATGAAATTTTCTTTTTAAAATCTTTTCATACTTAGAGAGAAAAGTTAGAGATAAAAACATGTAGGTTCTACATATTATTTTCTTCCCACTTTGCTTTTCCCTCCACTTTTCTCTCTACAACCAAGTAAAGGAAAATGTTATTTCCCCACATGTTTCTTTTTCACTTTTCCCTTTTACCAAGCATAACATAAATCAATAATTGAGAAAAAGTTTAAGGATTAAAAGTTGTATATTATCCCTTTTAAAATAAGGTTATGTTCATGCCCTGTTTATACGATCTTGTAACTGATGTTATCTACATTTCTTGGTCTTAGCGAAGGAGGTCTGGTTCTGCCATCATTAATTTTTATTTTTATTCACTATGTATATATATATATATATTGATTTGATTATTAGTATCCGGTTGATCAGATACAGTGCGAGTAGTAAGTCATAGAAATCTGAAGGAGGAGATGGATTATGTACGTGATTATTTTGACAAGAACGTGGAGGACGTACAATTCCACCAAAACAAATATGGATAATACAAACACATGTGAACAAAAGACTTTCTGTTTTTCTATTTGCATGGAAGCATCAACTTGACAAGAAAACACACCTCATTTACGTGTCGCCAGGCATTCTGGCATGCTCGCATCATCCTAAATATATGACTACTTGCAGGCAAGCATCTGATTAACTTCATTATATATATATATATATATATATATTAGTGGATTTAATAACATCATCACATATATATGAAGACCATTGCA